TTACCGCTAAAACTCAATCAATATTGAGTATGAAACAGATATCACTGACAACGATGGTTAATGATCGTAAAAACATCAATAATTGATTCGAGTTAATAATGTAATTCACTGGATGAATGGATTCGCCATGAGATCTAAAGTTTGTAGGCTTGATTGCTGATGAAGTCGTCTCAAAGTAGGATAAAACAACTGTTCAATATGGTTTGGATCTCAATGGTTGTCTCAGTAAAACTAGTCCTTGTTGGGACTACTTCAAATGAAAAGGTCTTCATTAGCCTATTGTGTTTATGCACTGTATAATACTGGACATACACTTCGGACACTTAATACAATATCGATAAAATGACCTGGTATTTCTATGAAATGTTCAAAATATCCTGTATTAAAAGAGAAAACGATGTAACAAGAATATATATTACTACAATAATTATTATTTCTGTTATTCTTAAGAATTGATATCGGCCAGAAAATCATTTAAACCAGGAAGCGTTGAACTGTTATTTTATCCCTCATCTGGAATTTTTCAACAAGGAGCCATTAGATAACGTAAAAGCTAAAACGTTCAGATTTAGCCAACATCAAATCGTAATGAAGATGACTATGAATTTTTACAAAATGTCAACATCTGACGTGCAAACGAGTGTATCAGTGGTGACATGTGAACCTCATAAGTGAAACTGGTTCTCTCAAGGTTACAGGTACACCTTACTTACATGGGCTAACAAGAACGCATCCTAAGTTCAAGGCTTCTTACCGACTCCTTTCAAAGACCTAACATTAAGATACACTAATTTCAGTGTAATATTTACTTTGTAATGAAAACTAATGTATCACATTACCGTCTATACATTTTGTTTATTCAAGATGGTAATATGATATGTATAAAAAATGTTTTATTTTATTAATTTAAAATTGTTGTACTACGCTCCAATTGAAATCGAGTTATGCACAATTGAAGGATCAACGATAATAACTCATTAGTTAATGCCAGATTCAAAACAAAATCATCTATATTAGTAATAAGTTGCAGTACAGTACCTGATTGCATATAAAAGCTAATTAGATTTGTTGATCGATTTCTATCCACGTGTACATAAAACTAAATTATGCTTCCGAAGTAGTTGCTATCGTGATTGCAACTCATCTATCATGACGCAACAATCCAATAATTGATGTCGATTGTCAATCAATCGGTCAGTAATCTTGAAGAGTTCATTTTCGGATAACTGAGGACGGTGTATTATTAACATCATGCCGTAGTAATGTTATCGTATGATCACAGAAATACAGAAGATGAACACACATTCTCTTTTGACCTAGTTTATTTGTGTTAATGATTCCCTAAAGATCTCGTTGTCAATGAAAAGCATGCTCATATTCTCTATATTCATTAAATATTCGAAATTATATTAATAACCTAGTCCAATACTTCTTTCTTATTACCCATTCTTTCCGAAAAATTGAACAAAAGGTCATTACACCAGTACTTGTTTGTATCCATAGACGTTTCATTTTGGGACCCACACATGGCTCATCATTAGTAGACCCCATTAGGCGAATTGATTCAAAAATTCTATCACCTGATAAATCATCAATCAATTGTCATTTTTAACTCGTTATTCTATGGTCTTATTTCTTCTCTAAGAACCGTGTCCTTCGTATATGATTTTCCCTCACAGTTGAAGGTAGTTGGCCTGATTTGCTTCTCATTTTGTTAGATTTTTTCGCTATTATAACGGTAATTGTAGCATTCACACTCATGCCATATCTTAAGTTATTTATGGCTGATTCCCAGTGCCAAATTCAAGTTGTCTGCTGATCTCCAAACTATCATAATTCAATTATTGAATCGATTTATTGATTTTTCACACCTTCAGTATTCTCACTTTCATTTATTGTGATTTCTTCTTACATATTTATATGTATACAAATATTTATATATTTTACAACTAGCAGCAAAACAGAATTTTCTGCCTACCGGTGAGTCAGAATTAGTCAGTTCATTAGGAACTCCACCGAAAATTAAACAATCATATAAACGAAGTAGTCAATCTAATTTACCGAATCGAACAATCAACAGTGCTAAATTCAATCAAAATGTTAATCTTATACCAACACGTAGAGTTTCATTATCTAATTCACAAATTCGATTTAATGAAGATACAGATGCAACGGATTGTGTATCCACATTGTCCGGTGAAACTTCTCAAACAATGGAGTATAACGAATTTAATAAAACTCATCATGGTTCTGATCGAAGTGCTGCTTCTGGACGATCTAAAAGTAAGCGTACTTATTGCTACTTATTTTCTTTTGTCGTTATATGGATCCCCAGATTTGATCTCTTTTTTTTCCTTATTTTGATTTAATTTTCTTCATAAATATTTCAAACACTAATGTGAACATGATATAACTCCAATTCCACGTGATGCCAACTAACTTTTTATATCTTCTTAGTGTAAACACATGGTGAAATTAACTACTATTGACATTGTGATATCGAAAAGTTAGATACAGAGAACTCATTTTAGAAAGGAAACCATCAGCAGATCACATTGATAATTGGCAGAAAAAGTGTTTGCATTTAAACCATACGAAAAACAAACATTGGAGTACACTCTTCAGGCGTTTAGTTATTTGGTTAAGTGTAAATAAATGAAAACGATAATACAGATTAGTTAAAATAGTTTTTTCAACTTAATAACTGTCCTAATTTCAACAGATTATTTAATGTATACAAAAAGAGGCCCCTACAAAGTACTCAGTTTTGAAGGCAAAGTATGTTTATAAGTGATCACAAAAGTAGAAATGTGGAAATGGTTTCAAACTACCAAATAGAGGTTCATATATTTGACTATGATTCATTGTTTCTAATTAAGAATGAATAATATATACTATTTGACAAGGTATTTGACTTTTAACCACTGATTCATAGGTTCACCTATCCCATTATCTAACCTTAAAGATAATAAGAATTAAATATTGAATGCTGAACAAATTTAAGAAGTCATGGATTTATTTACCTTTTGAGTTTCGATAGACCCAGTCATATATCATGATACATGGAAAAATACTATAAGTTGATATAAAGTAAAAGATATTACAACCTACTAAGTTGATCATTTGGGAGTCCAAATAAAAATGTAATAATTGTTAAAATTGCAATAGAAGCACTTTGGATCATCATAAGACAGTAAAGAAAATCTCTAGTTCTGATAATAGACATTGGTAATGTACTATAAATCGTATGATTTATGTGTAACATTTTCTTTGTCAACATTAGTAACACATGATGGTGGAGAAGATTCAAACACTTCACTTCTATCTGAAGTTTGTGCTGATGATGTCGTTCAGAAGAACGATGAAAGCTCCACGACCAAACCATCCAGCTCAGAGAACAAAACTCCACCAAAATTGGTAACACATTTCAGAAACAAATGACCTGTTTAGATTTCTCTGTAAATGTCTAGAAATGTGTTCTTTTGACATAGGATATGATTTGTTGTTATTACTAATGGTATCATCACTGCTTATGCACACTTTTTGATTATTTATATTCCTGATATAATCATCGAGTTTGTATTTTTGTTTAAATGTTTTCTCCCTAGCTGAATTATTTCTAGTATCACTGGCTGATCTGAATAAAAAATGTCTTAAAACCCTCTGATCTCTTTTGTACTCCATTTATTTCCATAGTCACATTTGTTCTCATTTATTAATATGATTGAAGGTAATGTTCATGAAACCTTGCTTGATCTACGCTTCTCATCAACTGTTTCTCGTTAGCATGGTATAATTACAATTTTAAGAGAATTGATACTGCTTGAGAGATTTGACATGATTCAATCATTGTTAAGGGTTAGATAAACGCTACAACGATCAAACAGTGTGAATGTCTCAGTTCTTTTGGAATTCAGTCGTGATTGCACGACTCAGTCGTAAAGTAATCAGCTATAACACTGTATGACTCTAATTTCAACCTTATTAGGATCGTCAAGAATGCGGATAAACATTGTTAACGAATTATAATTGGCGTAAATTGCTAATCAAGCAGATCTTCTTGATAGTTGCCTCCAAATTTCTAATCAACAGTTATTCGCTTGTGTAAGAAAATCCTGGCAGCTTACTTCCCTTTGCACTTTTTTTTATGCTAAAAGTGTTATGCAAAAAGATAATTAATGTTTCAAAATTCAGTCATCCAAATCAAACATTGTTGTTCAACGACTGTTTATCATCCTTCTAAACTATAAATCTTTTCTACTTTTAATATTAATCATTCGAGAGTTGCATTGAAAAAAATATATTTTATTGCGTACTTCACGAATCCACATTATTCTGACAATCATTAAAAACCGGGGGACATTGAATAGCTGTTAGTTATCAACTAAAAGTAATATAGGATGACTGTGCAATATCGCGAATCGATTGAAGCTAGATACCAGAACCAGTGGAATTCGACTTAATGATCTAAATTTTGGACACCACGAAATCTAGAGATCCTGGGTTTGATTCCCAATGCGGTCATGGATGCGGACCATAACGAAACGACTGCCCGGTTTGTTCTAGTTTTCAATGGTTATCTAGACGAGGTCAATTGATGAAGCAAAATATAAAATCCAACAATTTCTACAAACTCCTGTACTCAAATAAATATATATATCATCTTTTGTGTTACAGAGTAAATTGTGTTTAACTGATTCGCATGATGGGTATTTACTATCCGAAAACTCTTTGTATCATCCACATTTCAGGTATCATGGGTGCTAGTGAAGAAGAAGGTCTAAAACTTGAAAATGAAGGTTAGTGTAATATTTCTGTTATCAATAAAATCAATCCATTGCAGCTCTAATTATTAATGCTACTAGAAAACTCAAGTATTTTGTAAAATTAGGCAAATAAACCAACGAAACTGTCACATTGTATCTGGTCGATGAATAATAATCAGTGTTAAGCCATGTCAGTCATAAACGAGGCAACGACCCAAACTGTTTCACTTCATATCAAGACGACAAAAATTATGATAATTTGGTGAATAGAATTAATGAATTCAAAGGTTAGAAGTTATGTAGTAATGTTAAACTGAAGAATAATGTGTAAAATTGGGATTTTGAACCCTTTTGTCTAAAATCTTCAAATATCCTCCATATACCTTAAGCAGAAAGTTTACACTTTTAAACATGGTTTAACAAAACAGTCAATAGCCTAATGCACTGACATAATATTTTGATCTGGCTGTCACGAGTCTTTTTCCAACTTGTTTTTATATTAGGAAATATAGTAAACTGATTGAGTTAATAACTGGCCTCCATGGTTAATCAAAGTTCACGTTCTCATTGTTCATTTCCTCATCTGTTTACAGTACATTACATTGAATTTCAATATTTCTCTCTTGGTAGTTCTACTATATATAAATTCTCCAGTTAAACCTTATCGACTCATTTCATACATATTTCAAATTACTTAGTGTGTCACTCTTGTTTTCAGGGTGATTTAATGTTGTTTTCATTTTAATAGTTGATTTCAGATTGATTTAGGTCACGGAACTACGTACTTCCATTACAAAATAAAACTATGTTGACTTAAAGTCATTCAGTAAGCGCTTATTTGCTTTGAACAACGCATATACAGAGCATTTGCTATCAATTTAATGCATTGAATTGTACAAAGAAAACGCTTAATGTTCATACACTTCAATCAGAATACTTAGATGACTTAATATTTGTTTTTTAAAGTTTCTATGCAGTCTACTCTTTGACTGTTTTCCCATTGATATATTTTGCTTTAGAAATTCCACACACAAAAGCTCACAGAAACTATGATAGTTTCAACTTAGATATAAGTTGAAAACTGATTGTTTTTAAAAAATATAATTAACTAGCTGTAACGATTATGATGGTGCTGAAAATCAACGTACTATGGACCCTTCGTAGATTCAAAGTAGATGTTAAAATATAACGATCTCTAGAATTAAATCTCAACTGCTAAAGATCCAAAATGTAATTTAAAGATGAGCATTGGGTAGATACTGCTTCATAGTTTGATATGTCCATCCAGTGCGACTCTAACCAAGATCAAAATCAACTGCCACACTGTCACAATAATCTTATACTAAGAAGCAAGAATTTAATAGTTGACTTTTAATTTAATGACTTATTTAAGAACAACACATATAACGGAATGAGTGAATGTCTACTAGCTTGGTTTGGAAAGGCTCAAACAAAGACAATAATTAATCCTATCTTGGCACACACAGTTGATAATGAATGGTAGATAAAATAAAATCATTTTGAGTGACCTATCGCATACATTTGTTATTTCGCAATGGGATTTAATCCCATCTCCTAAATATTAGCAGAACCTGTTAGGATTCGAACCTATAACCCTAGTTTATGTGACTAGAAGAAATTCGTGACACTCCTATCTTGGCCAGATATAACTTGATAAACAATTTTATCAATGTTTTCACATCTCGTATGTGTTTGTTACTTTTCACCTCTTTCCGTTTATATTCTTCAATACGTAATTATTTACACACTAATTATGTAATTTTAATAATCTTTTTATGATTATTACTATTTTAAAGTCTAATTATCCAAGTTTGACCTATTTCCTATTTTGAACTATTAACTAGAACTTTTGCGATTTTACTATTCTTATCAGTACTACTAGTAGACCTGTCTTTTTACTATCAGTTTGTACTGTTCACCTGTTATTCATAGATCATGGACTCATAAATTATTTTGACTGGTTTAGTATTCTCATATATATATTAAAGATTGATGACTACCTAACTGAAAATCATATTGTTCACTTATATGTGTTATTTTAATTCCGCTACTAGTATTTGACCACAGATGCCTTAGAAATATTGCTGGCGTCTGCAAGGATCACCGGCCAAGTAATGGTGAGGTTAGACGCAGAGTATTAGGGAATGATGGTAAATCAGTTGATGAGGTTGTGAATCTTCATCGACTGAGATAGTTGGGACACGTGTTACATATGCCTGAACACCGATTACCACGACGTGCAATGCTAACTGGTGTTGGAGATGGTTGGAAGAAAGTTAGGGGCGGCCAAACCAAAACGTGGTATCAGTGCTTGAAGTCACTAACTTCTGGTGTGAGTCATGTTAGTAGATGCAGACTACATGGTTGGGGTCCGCGTGACTATCGTAACCAATAATTGGAGACTCTGAGCGACATGGCTCAGAATCGATCACAATGGCGTCGGTGTATACACTCTCTGTCTTCCCTTAAACTAACAGAATAAAATCACTTCATATCTTTCTTTCTACAAACTAATTCTTTCTTCCTGTACTATATCCTTATTACAATCTTTCTTTTATATATTACCACCTCTGAACTTACTACTTCTATGAATCCGGTGTTCATCTTGTTATGTTAATGAGGTGTGGCAACTTGGACCGATGCATATATGTTCCTGGTCCTGTGTTGTAGCTGATTGACTGAGTGTTATTTTAATTTCACAACGATAATCTTTACTTATATAAGAATCGTTAATCGACATTATCCAATTGATTGGCATCAACGATTTTAACTTTCTGTTAAAATGTAAAATTCATTTTTCATGTCAGTTACTGATGAGCAAGCAATTATTGTCGTCTATAACTTTTGTACTTCTCCAGATGTTGTTAGTTTTTAATGAAAATTATCTGCAAATTCTACGTACTGTCATTGGTTAGTAAGTTTAGACTTATTTACTTAAACACTGACTAAGTATTTCGTATGTGTTACATCATTTAGAGGCCATAATTTGTTTGTTGCGGTAAATAACTCTATGAAGGTAAACTGTTCAACAGGTATTGATCATTTGATGTCAACCTTGTTAATTTCTATTGATTTAAGTAACTGTAAGTAGAGATGATCACGGGTATATGCCATTTTCTGTTATATCTTTCATTCATATGAAATCCTTCTATCATATGTTTGATAACCAGTCTAATAGTTTCATCCTCATCTATCTCCGCATACCACAGGATATACTGCAGCTCCCTAATACTACTACTACTGATTTTTTCTCATGAGTGATTTAAATAAAATGTTTAGAAGGGGTTTTGTACTAACATTATCATATTTTGTTATATCACGTTTCATCATTATAAACTTATTAATTACTTTATGATCTTTTGTTCTTTCTTTTCATCAATATACATATCATGTGTCATGATAGCGTTACGTTCATTATTGAACGATGCTAATCATCTCATTAGTACTATCAAATCGCATACAATAACATTGGAAACGGAATTAAATGCAAAAGTTAACGATGTTGATCGTTTAGCCGAAGAATTATGTCGTTTAAAAAATCGTCTTCTTTTAGATGGATTAACTCAGTATTTGGAAAAAGTATAATAGTAAAAAGCATCATCAAACATACACATCAAGGAATTGATTTTTTTTTTCTAAAAACAAAAAATACAGATAAACGAGTATTGGACAGTCGAATTAAATATTCAAGTCAGTTTGATCATTATTATTATTATTATGATGATGATGATGAGGAGGAGGAGGAGGATTACGAATATTAAATCTTTCAACTGTTGTTAATTGATTATTTCTGTATTAAGGCTTATTCTCTTATCTGTCTGTCTAGACTCTATTCATTATTCTCAACTTTCGTATTGTCTATTTGTTGACATGATATTGTTTGTTCTTTGTCTGTTTAACTCTTCCTCGGAATCCCACCAACAACAACCTCTTTTTGTCCCATTATTATTATTGTCTGTGTAAAGGCATTTAATTTTTATTACTACTATTATCCCCATTACATGGTATCTATTCACTTTATTTGGTCTGATTCAAATTGTTTTTGTGTATGTGTATGTATGTTTCGAGGTAGATATAGAACCAGATAGAATTAACGCCCTTTTATGTACTGTTTTTCCTATAAATTATTAAAATATATTGATCTCTTTTCATTTCTTATTATTTTTATGAGCTCGTCTGATTAAAATCAAAGTGTTAGCACAATTTTAGAACTAGTTTAAATGGCTGGCATAGATACTATATGCAACAATTGTCAGTTTTTATATACCTATATGATGCCTATCATATATCTATCGCCAATTCTTTTTTTAAAAAAAACACAAAGACAAGCAATAATCTACAGATCAGATCTTCTAATATTACTTTCATTGTTTATCAGTTTTTGTTTACTTTTCAAATCAGAAAAGAAAACTCAACTCATTCCAAAAGCCGAGATCTTTTTAAAAAGAACTAGAGATGCCTATATCAGAATATTAGTTAATTGACTTATGAACTTTCTTTTTCAATATTACTCTATATTAGGCGACAACTATGCAAGGCATCATAGAAACAGTATCGTTTATTATTATTTTTTTCTCTATTCTAAACAAACACTTATGAACTTTTACACAGATTTTGATGTATACACATTCAGTTGTTATATATTTGCTCATTGTTTGTTTGAAAGACACTAATTGATCATTTTTTCCCTTTTTTTTTAATTGTTTTTTTTTCTATTTCGAGTTAATCATTTGAATGAAAATAATAATACAACTGATAACCACTTGCTGCATTGTTCTGTTTTGTATAACCATTATAGTTTACATTTCAATCAATCAGTCAGTCAGCTACAACGTAGGACTAGGCACATATGTGCATCGGTCCAGGTTGCCATACCGCATCAGCACAACAAGATGAACAGTGGTTAGGTCAAAGGTGGTAATATATAAGAGAAAGACTGCATATAGAGATATATTACAAGAAGAAAGAATTGGTTCGTAGAAAGAAAGATATGAAGTGATTTTAATCAATCAACCTATCTATCTATCTATCTATCTACGCAGTAAACTCGATTAGGTGAATAATTTGTTTACTCACTAGATGTGACTTTTGCCCGATGTATCGTTTAACTTATTGAGATTGATGTTTATACAAATTAATGATACTATTGAAACATTTTTTGGCTTCAAATTCTTAGACTCAATAAACACAGACAAGCTTCTATCGTCTTCTCTAGTCCTTAAGTCTATTAAGCATTAATGGATCTATAATATCCTTAACGATTATACTAATCATTAATTAAGTTGTAATTAATGTTATGTTGTCTAGTCTTTAATACAGATCGAATCTTATCGACCAAATTCCCCTTTAGCTGAAAATCTGAATAACTTGAGATAGTGATGATCTTTCTTTAACTTGTGTTTAATTCTGTAAAGAAATAAAACATTATTTTCCTTAAAACTCCGTATACGATGTGTGGATAAATCACCAATTAGTGCAACAGGTGATTCTTAGCTTCCCGAACATTGTTATCAATCGCTTCAAAAATTGATAAACTAGCTACTTAAATTCATTAAGGGGCATTTAATAGTTGAACATAACCTAGAATAAACTGTTTGTTAAAATATCTAACTCTAAGTTTCATATTTATGAATTCGCTAGTTGTTAACTTATATTTACATCTATATACATAAATTATACCATAATTTATCTCAGCCTTTGTTTATTTTGTTAGTATAATCGTTTATCACAGATATTTGAATGTGTTTTTTGGAAATTGAATATAATCAATGAATATAGTATGTAAAAAGTCGGTCAACACTACTTTAGGGGGTTTGATACAATAATAATCATCATTATTAAACAGTGTACTAGGTTAACATTTAAAAACTACAAAGTGTTCGGCAAATTTTTTGTTCAGAAATTAATGCGTCCGACCTATTCGGATCTAGACTTGATAAAGAAGCGAACCTAGTGTATTTAGATTTTGCTGATCTTTGAAAGGTGCGAAATTAAATCCCATTCATGTGGAAAAAACAACTGACTTCATGATGAATATCGCAAAGTTTTACTAATAAGTGATGATCTCTGATGTAAACTATGTCGTTGATGGATTATAGTTTGGACATTGTAGTGGCCCAAATTGGAGGATTAGTTAGACAGTTTACAATGTAGTACTAATAACCACATTTCATACAAAACTGAGAGGTTCCCATACAAACAGAACATAATAGTAGACGACAAAATGAAAACACTGTATAGAAATGAATGCTAATTTTCGATAATGATATTAGAAGACGGAGATTATCAGAACTATGTGATATTAATATATCACATACATTTCGAACAATCTGGTCACACATATACTTGTTAAGAGCATTTATATATAAAAATAAAAGGTCAACTAGACAGGAAACGGGGTAAGAGGAGATAAGGATAATGATAAGAGTAATAATAATAATAATGTGAACACAATTTGAAACCCAATCACTCTGGCTAATAAGTGAATATTACCAGGGTAGGTTTAAGGTGAGAACAAACTGTTTTTGAACACACAAAGGGGGTTTGAATTTTCGTATGGCTAAGGCTTCAATAAATCTTAGCATACGCCCTTTTACACTTTTATACAACACTACGAAAGCTGAGTTTAGATCAATCTTGTGACCTGTTTCAATTATATGTTTAGCAATTGAGGATGCTAATTGTAATATTTCTTGATGGCAATCAGAAACAACTGAAATTCACTCAATAAGTCAAGCTGCCCTTGTCTGCTTGCGCTAAAATAGAATGATAGAGTATATATGCTTCACAGGATTTGATAGGAGGAGAATAAATAATCTCATGAAGTGAAGGGTTGCCCGAAAATACACATCAATAGTCAATGACGCAACCAATAAATGCGAAGCAGAAGACGACGAAAAAATAAAATATTTTGAGCACAGTTACATCAATAGAAATCAAACACTAATCGTACATGTAGTAATACAAAGCACGATTGATACGTTTGAACTAAACGTATTGAATCTCAACGTGGTTAGATATATGATGTCGCGGAACGAGTGCTAACTCAGTAACCGAATGATACCGGTTCACGTCAAAAATGTGATAAGTTAGTTGTTGTGTGAAACCAAGTATAGTAAAATGAAAAAAACCAACTCATCCGGCTTTTAACAGTTTATGGATGAAAGAAAACCTAACAAACAGAGTATCAACATGGTCTGCTCAAATCAGTATTCTTGTTTTTTTAATCATTTTACTGGCATTTTTCTAAAAGTCTGCAGTGTATATAAAAATCATCCAGTAACTCAGCTACTTATTATTGCCGGCAATAGGAAGATTCGAGTAAACAATACCAAGTGAATTTAAACTTCCCATTGCACAAGCAGGTGGCTATCAGGACTCAGTAGCTAAGTGGGTAACGCGATGGTGTTTGAAGTGAACGGTACTATGTTTGAGTCCGAGGGTGAACATCAACTGTGAGATTCAGGTACATCCAGATGACAAGTCCCAAGTAGGACGGAACGCGCGTCTTGGATTCCACTGCTAGCCACTATCCATCCTTGTTTATTGATCACTATTGTTTGTTTAAATTCCACGAAACACTTAAAAACTGTCAATAAATTAATACACTATTTTACATTCATATGGTCAAATCTTCACTTTCTACAAAAGCTCTTCTCCATTTGGGATTTTGGCACCGACAATGTTATTCAGTAAACATAATGGATTTGGTGGAAAACTCAGTGGCATTGGAAACGAACAATACTGGGTTAGAGTGTTGGAGTTAACATCATCTCTGTGATAAAGGTACATCTAGCTAATGAATATCAAATAGGACGAAACGCGCGTCCTGGACTTCACTGCTAGCCTAATTTCATATATTCTATGTGAAAAATTAGTCACAGTTAAGCTATCTAATTCTGAGAACAAAATATAGAAGTTCAATCTAAAAGGATGATGTTATATTTAGTCGTCGCCGACTGCTGTGTCGGAAAAACGCTGATCACTTATACTCGGAACGAGGGACCTCGGCAATCCCACGATGCGAAAGTAAGAACACAAGACTGGTATAAGTGAAGATTTATTAGCCCAAAAACACTATGACAACGATGAATCGTAATAGTTTAAAATACACCGGTTTATATTATTGATTGTACACCCATTTTGAATAATAATTAGGATTAAATCACATACTCAGTTATAACAAATCACTTACTGAGCATAGTTCCTGTCAAGTGAGTACAAGAATATCGTATATTATACAGAAGAAAATATCATACTGGGAAAACAATCAAATACTACACTGAATGATCCTCACGTTGAATCAAACGAATGTAATGTTGAATAAAACTCATAATGAGTAATTCAATCGAAAATTGACTTTTCTTTCCATCACATCAGATGATCTATTAGAAGATCCCTAATATCTAGGTAATCAGTATTACATAAACTGGCAGTTAATTATCAATCATTTGAATAAATTCCATACAGTAATAAAGAATTTGCATCCTTCAAATGAAAAGTAATAGTAGTAAATGAATTTGATGAATAAAAACATTAAATTTGAGTAGTTCACCATTTCAATCAATGCAGAAAGATTGTGAAATATTTTTTAGATCGATTTTTATGTCACCTATTTTCTTTAGTGATTATCTGACAAAACAGCAACTGTATGATCAGTATTTCTAAAAACATAGTAAAGGATTTTGTGGAAGTTACCTACTTCCTTACTCCTGTTACTCCCAATGGAGCATAGGTCACCGACTAGCATTCCCCAACTCACTCTATCCTGGGCCTTCATTTCTAAACCTTTCCAATTCTTGCTCATTCTTCTCATGTCTCTCTCCATTTCTCAGAGTAATCTGTTCTTTAGTTTTCCTCTCCTCCTCCGTCGATCTTGAGGATTCCATTTGAAGGCTTGCCTCATGACGCAGTAGTGTGATATCCTCAATGTGTGTCCTATCCACTTCCAGCAATTCTTCCTGATTTCTTCATCCACTGGGATGTGGTTTGTTCTCTCCCATAACAGGTTGGTGCTGATAGTGTCTTGTCAACGGATCTGAAGTATTTTGCGTAGACAAGTGTTAATAAACACTTGTATCTTCTGGATGATAGCTTTCGTAGTTCTCTGCCTGGAGTCCCTCAGGGGATACTGCCGGTCCCAATCCCTGATAAAGGAGGAGAGTTGGGTATGGAGTTAGTGACCCAATCCCGTAGTAAAATAACTCTCTAAAAAACGCCAACCAGAAAAAAATAATCCAAACCATTTGTGGAAACTACCAATATTGAGAGAATTATTGAAAACTACAGAGTACTGTGAGACAGTTTGTTTTCGTTTGAAATGCTTTAGAAGTGTTTAACTATCATTCCATATGTTTGAAACAAGCATCTTTCTACCTACTACTGAACAGGAAGTGTTTAAACCTATAAATACAAATTTAGTTGTTTGTACTTGAAAATTCGGCTAATTCTTAATATAACACGGCAATTATTTAAAGTGGACAACTGTCATATGCTGAACATAACTGGACTACACTACAAATGGCTTTAGATAAGAACTTTGAGAATTTTATCTTATCATAGCTTTTCTATCTGGATTCGATTTAATGATGTAAATAGTCAAATTGAACGACCATCGATAGTCCACTTGGCCAAAGTATGCTTCTTGACATTTGTAGTGATTGGTAGTAGAACTATCCAAGAGAGACGATCATTCAAACCTCAACAAAAAACTCACTGATTTCAGAATACATGATCTCTGCAAACAATATTCAAATTTAACTGCTAA